GAAAGCAAATCACGTGGGCCACGCTTACCTTCAAAGCTGCAATCATACTATGTTCCCACAGGGAAAAGCAGAACGTTGTGAACAGCCCTGACAGTGGCCACCATCAGCCAGTCTGTTTGCAGATATAAGAAGCCAACAGGCAGCCAGGCATGGTGGCTCCCACCCATAATCCCAATACTTTGGGAGGCCAAGGCAGGTAGATTGCCTGAGGTCAGGAATTTGAGGCCAGCCTGGCCAACATAGTGAAACCCCCCATCTCTGCTAAAAATACAAAAAATTAGCCAGGTGTGGTAGTGGCCACCTGTAATCCCAGCTACTAGGGAGGGTGAGGCAGGAGAATCACTTGAACCCAGGAGTGGGGGGTTGCAGTGAGCCGAGATTGCCCCATTTCACTCCAGCCTGGGCAACAAGAGCCAAGCTCCATCTCAAAAAAAAAAAAAAAGAAGCCAACAGGCTTTGATAAGATATAGTCCATGACTAATCTATTCCTATTTTGAACCCCTACAAGTCGGATTTGTGGTTTCGTCTGCCACCTTCCCAAAAATGGGAGTGTGAGTCCTAAAAGAGGTGCATCTCCTGTAATGTTAATGAACCCAGATTTAGTACGTGGAAAGCAGTTCTAACATACAGACTCTCTGGAAATCAAAACGTGCCGACGGGTAGTGACAAGTTACGATGCCCTTATCCGCCTCAGCTTGATGGGTGGCATCTGTCATTGTGTCTGGCATCAGTGAGGTCTTAGGGTCTTAGAATCACTGGTACTGTCATCTGTCCCCACTCTGGAAGCCAAACACACTCGAGGCCCTGCTGTCGGTGACCCTCCTTTCAGACTGGAGAGTGGCTCACGGGCTAGCACAGGCTGGCTGTCACTCAGGCCCCGCGGGGCTTTGGAGCAGGGTCTGTGCTGGCACAGACAGCCCAGGGCCTCATTTAACAACCAGCTCAGTGGCTGCGCCCCATCAGCAGAAAGCCCTTGAGTCTCCTGGAGTGAGGCCCAGCGTTATTTCATTCAGGGCATGATGCAATGACAGGGCAGGAGGACACAGGGACCTGGGGCCATCTGTCCACTTCCTGGTGGCGGCAGGGGGGTGGGCAGCCTTTAGGTTGAGCTCTTCTGGCTAGGGGCATCTCACCCTCTTCCCTGCCTCATTCTTACTCCCCCTATGCCTCCCCAAGGTGCCCTAGGGAAGGATGCTGGGCAAGGGGTCTGAGCTGTAGGGATGTGGGAGGAGGTGTGGGCTGGAGAGAAGGACAACTGTCTCCCTTCAAAGCCCAGGGTATTCGGCAGCGTGTCAGAGGGCAGCGGGTGCCTCACCTGCCATCCAGCACCCAAGCTGACTCACAGGAGTCGGTTCTGAGAATAACCCAGGCAGTGACAGACCCCGTGTTGTGGGAACGCTTGAAAGGAAGACTCCACAAAGGAGCGTCTGCACTTTGTCATAACGAGGCTGTGGCAGAGGGCGGCAAGCCAAGCCTCAGAGCACTTTCCCGGTTCATCTCAGGTCTCAGCAAGCTCCGGGAGTGCCTGGAGTAGACCCTGGGCTTCTGATTCTTGCCCAAGGCTCTTAGGAAACAGAACAGCGCCCAAGGTGCTGGTCAAAGCAGGGCCCATGCCAACGGCAGAAGTGCCTGCATGCCGCAAAAGGAAGGTATGGGCTGAGAAAGGTCCTGTCACTTGAATGATTTAATTGGGACTTGCCCATGAGGAATGGGAAAAACATGGGCCTTCCACATATAAAGGCACAAACAGATAAAGAACCCTAGTCTTCTTGGGAATCTGAGATCAGCATCAGTGTCAAGGGGAAGCCACAGGCTGCCTTTCCGAGCAGTGGCAAAACCCACCCTGCCCAGCCCAGGCTCAAGCTCCAGGGGCCGAAGCCACTGCTCCTCCCTCCTCCCTCTGCCCCTTCCCACCAACCTGTGTCAGAATTGCAGACCACACAGCTCAGGAGCAGGAGGCCCCACAGACGTCACCTGATCTACACCCTAGGCTGACCCTCATGAGAAAGGGCCTCAGTTTCCCGAGCTGCCAGGTCCAGCTTTTATTCCACAGGCTGGCTACCTGGTAGACAATCGCTGCCATTTCGCCCAAGTCCAGGGGAGGGGAGTTTGCGGTGCTGCGCCGCAGGCTGTGCTGAAGGCCCAGGGGTCTTCCCTGCTCACGCGGTGCTCTCTGTACCCAGGGGTACAGCCAGGGCTCCTGAGAATGCCTGAGATCAGAGAGGGGACACTGTAGCACGAACCAGCTTCCTGCTGGGGATGACAGAGCCGCTCGGGTCTCACTGACACCTGCAGCCAGAAGGCCGTGGGGAAGGTTGATACCAATCCTGCTCTAGGCTGGTGGTCCTTGCAGAGGTGGGGAGAGGTGTGCTCCCCTTTCCAGCCCACCCACTCCTAGCACATGTGCTGAATGTCCCCAAGTGGGATAGGGCGACCAGATGGGGTAGTCCAGGCCTAGGAGACAAGAAAACCTATCCCAGCACCGCCAGAAACTTAAAGGTGACTTTGGCTAAATCCCAGGCTCCTTGTGGCTCAATTTCCTAAAGTTTAAAGTAGATAAACCCTCAGCCCCCTGTGGCACGGGAGCACACTCTGGGGCGGCCATGCCTGGGTTCAAATCCTAGCAGGTGCTGACGGGGAAGCTACTTCACCTCGCTGTGCCTCAGTTTTCTCATCTATAAAAAGGGGCTGGTAACACTAATTGCCTCACAGGGTTATCAGGGGTTGTGAGGCTTAAATGGGTTACTCGATACAAAACACTAGAACGTGGCCACAGCAAGCACCATATGCATTACCATTTATTGCATTATTTCCCTGTCACACCTTGCCACGGTGACGACCATGTCCTTAGAGCTCCTTCGGGAGGTGAGCTGGGGAAAGATGAGGGGCATGGACTTCCCAGGGCAGCAGCACGAGGCCCACGTGTGACTTGTCTGGGATGCGCCGGCAGAGCTGGGCTGGCATCGGCCAAAGTCAGGCCTGGCTAGTGCGGGGCCAGCCCTGGGGATACGAGTGTGCAAGGAGGGAGCCTCACTCCTTCCAGGAGTGGCTACAAATGAACTTTACAGAGTAGCTGTCCCTGTGGTCACCAGAAGTGCCTCTGCCTGGGGGCAGGTCAGCTGGCAAAGCCTGACATGCCAGTGAGCCCTGTAAGAGGGGAGGTATCAGGCTGCCTTGTCTTTTCTGCTCCACTCCTTCCTGCCTTCTCCAAATTTGCAAGTAGGATTGGGTTTCCAGGCAACTGGCACATCCTGTCCCATAACCAAAGGGTTAGCAAACTGAAGTTAGCTTTTTTGTGGGCCAGTTTTCCTCTGCATCCAGATACCTGTCACCAACTTTTCTCGAGTCCTGAAAAGCTTCCAGGTGGGGCTCACCTCTGTGCTGCATTGGAGCAGAGCTGGGGAAAGGCCGGGGCCACGGTCTTGGGCCCAGCCCCCTCCCCGTCAGGCCTCCATCCTCCCGCCCCAGCAGCCCCGGTTCACCCAGTCACTTCAGCGACGCAGCCGGCCACAGAAACCTCACCCCGCATCCTACGTACCAGCCAGAGCCACACTCCTTCCCCCTCCTGTAGGGCACTTTGGGCCTGCAGGGCAGTAGCCAATGTGGAAGAGGCCCAGTGTTGGGGAGTGAACAGGCCGTCTTGAGGTTTTCAGTGTCCAAGTGAGGGCTGGAGGTCCGGGCGGCTGGCAGGAGCCTCTCTGAGCCAGAGGCCCGAACAAATCGATGGGCACTGCTGTGCATGAATCCAGCCGCTGTGCCCGTGGCCTGGACTGAAGGTCAATTAGAGAGTTAATCATGCCCAGCACTGTCCAGCCTGGTGGCATCCGTGACCAGGAGTCCAGCAGAGGGAGAGAGTATTAATAACTTGGTGGTGACGGCCCCGCTGCGAGAATGTGATCTCAGGACAGGGCCAGCAGGGCAGGAGGAGCGTCGCCTTGCAGTGTCTCCTTGGCACTCTCCTGAGACAAAGTCAGGACGTCTTCAGGGGCTGTGTTTCCAGCCCAGAGCGCCAGCTTTTGCCTGAAACCCACAGGCCCACCCTCAGGGAGGGTAAGAGGAGGGGGAGGGGGAGGAGGGGCCAGGCCTGGGGAAGAGCAGCCCCCGCTTCACTTCCACTCTCCTGGCAGTCACAACCCTGCGCATGGCACTGTGGGCCTCACTGTCCTCATTTGCGAAGAGGCCTGCTGTCCTACAACCCCGAGCTGTGAGGAAAACAGGACCAGCATGGCAATAACGCTAGAAATACTGATAGATCACATTTATTGAATGCTTTGCTCTGGGTACTGGGCTTGCCTTTCCACAGGCCTTATCTCAATTATGTCCCCAACTCCTTGAGGTGGGTATCATTATTATCCTGTTCTACAGAGGGAGAGGGAGAAACTGAGGCCCAGAAAGGTTCAGTAACTTGTCCAAGGTCACACAGCAATTATGTGGTGGAGTTGTGATGTAAATCAATGGTGCACAGCCATGCTGTACAAAAATAAAGCACTCCTGGCCAGGTATGGTGGCTCATGCCTGTAATCCCAGCAATTTGGGAGGCCGAGGCGGATGGATCACCTGAGGTCAGGAGTTCGAGGCCAGCTGGCCAACACAGCGAAACCCCATCTCTACTGAAAAAACAAAAATTAGCCAGATGTGGGTAGGTGGCTGTAATCCCAGCTGCTTGGGAGGCTGAGGCAGGAGAATTGCTTGAACCTGGGAGGTAGAGGTTGCAGTGAGCTGAGATCGCACCACTGCACTCCAGCCTGGGGACACAGCCTGATCTTGTCTTGAATAAATAAATAAATAAAGTTCTCATCCCTGCTCCATAGAGGCAACCGCTGTAACTGGTTTCTCATGACAGATTATTCTAGAAGTAATCAATGGGTATTCACAGAACTGTTTAAGGTACCAGTGAGGAACCTGTTCTGGGTTCGAGGCCGTGTGGACCCTTCCAAGCGTGCCCTGCCCCAGCCACCACCTCCCTCGTATAACTTTCACCTTCCTCCCCTGCTTTCCAGAGGCCCCCGCTGAGAACCCACAGACAGGACAGCTGTGCCATGACAGCGATAAAGGCCAAGAAGGAGAAAGTTGAGGACCGCTGACAGCCCCGAGTGCTGTCAGGAGCTGCCCCCTCTACTTCACACCTTCCTCTAGCAGACTGTGCAGTGACCCCCGCCCCGCCACCGTGCGCCACCATGGTTGTGCAAAACAGCGCAGACGCCGGGGACATGAGGGTGGGCGTGCAGCTGGAGCCCTTCCTGCACCAGGTCGGGGGGCACCTGAGCGTGATGAAGTATGACGAGCACACGGTGTGCAAGCCCCTCATCTCCCGGGAGCAGAGCTTCTATGAGTCCCTGCCGCTGGCCATGAAGCAGTTCACCCCACAGTACAAAGGTGAGTGTCTGGGCAGCCAGGCCATGTCCGGGTGCCGCCACATAGGGGCCGGCTCATCCAATGCACCCACCCAGGCTTCCTGAGCTGTGGGTGTGTGTAAGGGTTGCCATGGAGACGTGCCCCCTCTCCTAGCAGGGCTGGCCTTCCGCTGTCCTAGTTTCTCTGAACTCTTTAAGCCTCCAGGTCTGGAGTGTAATGCTACTGGGCTTCCTTACAAATTAGCTCAAGCCAGCAGGCTTCGAGTGATGGAGAGAATGAAGCAGCACCCTGCCCACCCAGTCCTCAAGGATCGCATTCATTTGATGATGGCTGTAAACACAAGGCAGACGGGGGCCTCCTAAACCTCCCTCTGAAAGCCCAGGAGGATGGTGGGACCCTCAGGCCTGGGACAGGGCTTGGAGATGCTGGATGTGGCTTGCTTGGGAAGCCAGAACTCCCACCCTTGCCCAGGAAGGGGGCAAAGCCAGGGAAACGGGCTGCCGCTTGAATGTAGCTGCATGGGGCAGCACGTGTTCTGCATCTGAGCACAAGGTGGGTTCTGGGGACAGAAAGCGGGTGGGGAGGGTGCTGCCTGCCGGCCTGTGGGCAGGGGCCAGGCTCCCCAGGCCAGGCTGATTTGTCCACACCCAGCCTTCTGCAAGTGAGGCTCACAGGTCTCAGCCATGTTCTGCCAGGCGTCCGACCCCAGCAGTGGGGTGAGTGCTCAGAGAAATCACCTCCTTAGAGGACTGTAGACCCCATGATGGGAAGCTGCTGCCCTGCTTGTCAAAGCGTTGGTGGTGAAGGTAACAATAATATCCAAATAAGTTGGTCAAAAACACATTGGCATTTCGATAATCACAATAACTGGGAAGGATGGGGCCCGGTGGTTCTCAAGTGCAATCTGGCCTGGGAATACAGTGTGTATGTGCACACAGGCACACGGGTCCCCACACCCCATGCCAGACCTGTCAATCAGAATGCCCAGGGTCCTGGGGTGAGGGCCAGGAATTCTTATTTAGCATGGTCCAGACCTAACGTTGGTGTGGGGACCAGGGCCTGGGGCCTTGAGCATTGCTTCGCAGCACTGTTTCCCACATGCCTGGAGTCCAGGCCGGCCTGCCAGGACCTCCTGAGAGTCTAAGACAAGACCGATCAGTGTCACACACTGAGAGACAGGGGAAGACGGTCCGTGGGCCACCTGTGCTGGCCTCTGTCTCCCTGGGGTCTTCCGGGCCCGCAGGCTGGTATCACCTGGCTGGTTGTGGGTCACTTCCCATCTTGTCAGAGCACCCACTGGAATTAATGTCTGTCCTTTCAAAGCTGAATTTAGCCCAGCAGAGGGGTAGCAGGACCGTGTGTGGGGCAGCCACCTGCCAGCAGCATTTCACACTTGCTCCACACAGCTCTGGAGCTGAGATGGATGCTGGGCAGCTGCAGGCCAAGTGGGAGAGGCAGAGAGGCTGGCCTGGCATTCAGGAGGCCATCCTCATCCCCTCCTCTGCTCCCGCCTGCCGGTGGGGGTAGGAGGGCCCCACTCTCAGCACCCTGGAGCACTGGCCTCTGTCCAGGCCTCTGCTCCCCCTGCTTCCCCCTTCAGGTCAGCCCCATCCCAGGGTCAGCCCCCTTGGGGCTCTGCTAACTCCATACATTAATCTGAGCCCAGGCATCAGAGCTAAACGTATCCACAGCTACAGAGGCCGCCTGAGCGTCTGCCTTTGGGCTTCACACAGATGGTGTTTCTATATAAGCCAGGTGGGACCTGGGTCAGGGCACCCATGACACCCCTCAGAAACCACCTAGCCAGCCACCTACTCTGCCTGCAGGTGGGGGCAGACAGGGCCCGTGGGCCCAAGTTTGGATGAAGCGGAAACGCTGATTCACTCACTGACCGGAACACGACTCACACAGGGCCACGGTCCAAGCACTGACTAAGGAAATATACACATTTCAGGACATTCTAGGACAAGGCCCAGAACCAGGACTCAGGTGCTCAGATGCCAGGGGCAGAGGCAGGAGGGCAGGTGGCCGAGTCGGGTCATCGATGGGAAGAGTCCCTGCAAGGGCTCCCGGGTGGCGTAGGGTGCTGCTGAGAAAAGCAGCATCTGCTCAAACCCGCGCCTGCCACAACTGTACGCGGCTGCCGCGCGCCAATTCCCACGGCCCTCACGGCGCACTGAGGCAGGGGCCTCTAGCCCCCGCTAGAGGAGGCTAGATGAGGAAGCTGAGGCACAGAGAGGTTACCTGGCGGGCCTGAGGCCGCATGGCCACTGAGAGGCAGCGCCAGGACTCCAGGCTCTGAGCCAGCTCCCGACTGTGGGCTCTTGGCCACACGGGCCGCTCCACTCAGCTACACGGTTACTAAAGCGCTAGACTCAGGTGTCAGTGCTCAGGAGCCATCCAGCCCAAGGAGGATGGGGGTCATTCAGCCAGGACCTCAGGTCAGGGGGACTTGAATCCCCACATGGCTGCCACAGGGGCCTCCCTTCTCCCCTACAGCCACAGCCCCCAGTGTGAGAGGCCATTTCTGAAGCGGCCACCACATGCCACAGAGTGGGTATTCTCCCTTCTGGCTGCTCTGCACCACAGTGGCATCAGGGAGGACAATGGGCACGGACGTCACTCCAGAGGGCAGCCTCTTGGGTCAGAGCTTGCCCAGGACCTTTGCTGGGCTCTGCAGGCGTGATGGTGCCTCGGGGCTGTGTCCCTTTCCTCCCAGGCTGCCCGCCGGTGCTGGGGAACCAGGACACACTCGCAGGTCCAGTTGGTTAACAGTTGACCCAACTCATATTACAGACGGCAGCAAGTAAATGCTCTCATAAACTTAAAAATAAATACATGATAGAATATTCACCGAGGCTCAGGAAGCTGCTCGGCCAAACCAAAATTGCTGAGATGCTCTGGGCATGCCAGTCGTGGCAGCAAGCTCTCTTGTCTGTCCAGCTGGCATGGTTTTGGGTTGAGATGGGCAGGGAGGGCTGTGGGCAGGCAGGAAGACTCTGGCTGGCTCCCACACTCTCCTGGTCCCACACTCTCCTGTCAGGAGAGCTCTGGGAGCCCATGGGCCTCCAAGGCCTCATCCCCACAGACAGGCAGGGCAAGCTGGAAACCAGGCTGGAGCTCGCATGGCTCCAGCAGAGGAGCCTGGATTCCACTGGCACGCTGCTCCGTCAAGAGCAGGCAACTGGAGCCTGTTTGCAAGGGGGCTATCTGCTTGGGGTCCTGGACTTCTGAGGAAAGGGCTGAGCTGAGCCACAGAGGGGCGTGAGAGAGACAGAGGGAGAGAAAGACAAGAGCTGGAGACAGACACAGCCCATCAGAGGCACACAGAAAGCCAGAGAGAGGCAGAGATGCAGAGCCTGGCTGTGTAACTCTGACAATATGAGAAATGGAAATGACTTTTGGATTTTATTGGTTTTGGGTTATTTGCACCTCTGCTCTCCTCCATTTACTCTGGCACTCAGAACTGATGAGGTCAGACAAGGGCTGGAGTCTGGAAGAGTGGGTAAAGTCACGCTTCCTGTCCCTCCAGGGAGGCCTTCTGGGCCTGGGGCTCCCAAGACTGTGGTTCCTGGCAGGCCTGTCACCATGGCCTCACATGTGGCAAGGAAGATGGTGGAGGGCAGCTTGAACTTTCCAAGACCCAAAAGGGCCCTGCCCAAGACCAGCACACCTTCCTGGGCTCTCCAGGCAGCTGGGAGGCCTCTGGGCTCCCCAGGACCTGTGCGAGGCTGGTGGCTCTCTCCTCTTCTCGCACCTGGAGGGATGGGCTTGAGAGAGGCGTTGGCTTCTGAAACAAGCACTCCAGCCCTTCTTTCCCAAGACACGGGCCTGGAAATGTAAACGCCGTGTCCTTGCAGCCTGGGCTCCCAGCCCCTGGTGCTGACGACCCTCACTGAGGGAAGGAATCACAGCCTCTCTGTTCTCTCCTCTGGAACAGAATCACCAGAATAAACATGACTGGGGACACAACAGGCATGTTCCTAATGCAAACTCGGGGTAAACACAGCGTGACGACACCAGACCCTTCAGAAGAGCCTGCCCCTCCTCCATCCCCACGTCTGGCATGGCCCTCCCAGAGCTCCACCCCACACCAACCATGTGACCTTGGGCAGGTTTTCCCATCTTTCCGAGCCTCGGTCAACCGTCAACACCCTTACAGGCATACTGTGACTTTACGGTAGCAAGGGAAAATTAGCAATGTGCCACCCAGTAGGTGGAAGACAGGGTGGCTATGATGCTCTGTGACTCCTTCCCCAACCTGCCATCAGCCCCTGTCTCGAGAGCAGAACATCAATGGTGGCCTTGGCCTAGGGGTGAACACTGGTGGCAGGTGAATGGTAAAATGCCAGGGTTGGGGACAGCCTTATCCTTATCATCATGAAGACTTCGCAGGACGCGGGACGGCGTGACGAAGGGCAGCATTTTTTAGGGGATGGAGAGGACGGAATGTCACTCTCAGGCTGCAAAATTAGGGCACTGGGAATCTGAGATGACAGGACTGGCCCAGGGAGACCACTGAGCTAGGCAAAGGCAGCTCTGGAGAGCGACTTGCTGAATTATAGAGCAGCCCTGAAAATGAGTGTCCACGCTGACCAGCCCAGGAGGGCCCAGCAGGCACGCAGGCAGGGAGATCAGCCGCCTTCACGGCTGGCTCAGCAGAAACTGCCACTTACTCTGATAAGGTGACCACATGGCTGGGGCAAGAAATAAATACCTTGGAGGACATACAAACTTGCAACCCACCCTCTCTCGGTCAGGGCCCAGCAGAAAACAAAAAGTACATTCAAAGGAGGTTAGATGAAGAGAACCTTAAAAAGGAACTATTTGGCGGGGCGCTGTGGCTCATGCCTGTAATCCCAGCACTTCGGGAGGCCAAAGCAGCTGGATCACGAGGTCAGGAGTTTGAGATGAGCCTGTCCAAGACGGTGAGATCCCATCTCTACTAAAAATACAAACATTAGCTGGACGTGGTGGTGGGCACCTGTAATCCCTGTAATCCCTCAGCTACTCAGGAGGCTGAGGCAGGAGAATTGCTTGAACCCAGGAGGGGCAGGTTGCAGTAAGCTGGCATTGCACCACTGCACTCCAGCCTGGGCAACACACCAAGACTCTGTTTCAAAAAAAAAGAAGGAACTGTTTGCAGAAGTATATGCAGGATTCAGGGGAATAACCAGGGATTGAGGGGACCCAGGGACCAGCAACACTGGAAAGCTGTCACTACCCCAGGCCAGGTGACGTGGGGAGGGAACCAGTGGAATAAATGCCCAACCTTTCTCCTCCCACCCTCACATCTCCTGCCAGTGCCCCGCACTGGGCAAACTCACTGGAAAACCGGAGGGCAAGGGAACCACTGGTACACTCCATCAGGTCACCCCTTCAGCACAAAGCAGGACGGAGGGGGTGCAGAGTGGACGGGTGAGGGCAGGTGCAGAGGGGATGAGCACATCTGCTGCAGGAGAGAGGACATGTGTTCTTACCTCCGGTTCTCCCAAAACCACAAGGGTGGCCATCTCCTGTGCTACTACCAGGACTGTGGTGAGGCCGGGCACCACTGGAGGCCAAGCTCCACAGAGGAGGGCCGGGCTCTGCCACCAGCAGAGGGAGGAAGCTAAAGGGTGGCCACAGAGCTGCTAATATGCCTGACACAGCTAATTACCCAAGCCCAGCCAATGCCCAGGAGGACGCCCCTTAGCATGTAGGTTAAGGGCATTTCAGATACTCTTCACTTTCACAACAGTGGTTTTTGTGCCTTCATGACCAACACTGATGGTAGGAGGTACCATAGTTGAGGAAATCTCACAAGGCTTGTTTCATCAAAGAACCATGTTCCACCAATAATCTTCATGTGCAAATGCGTCTAACCAGAGGAAATAGCCAGCCATCAGCTCAAGGGCAGACAGACAGGGGAGGGTGAGTGAAGGGGCGACGGGGGGCCCTGAGCCCTGGAAGGCCATGAGAGGAAGGCTTCCTGGAAGAAACGGGTCAGATAAAGATCTATGCGAGGGAGAGGAAGGGTGATCAGGAGACAGAGGGCACCAGGAGGGATGGGATAGGCCCAACTTTTCTCACTGGCACCCTGGGTCGAGAGGCCCCTTCACAGAGGACTGGCTCCGATGTGCCCAGGTCGGCAGAGCTGGGTTGGCTGCGGCGTGACTGGGAGGTGCGACTGTGCAGAGGAACTGGAATGTGAGGACAAAGCGCGAAGGGGCAGGGAAGTGAGATAAAGCAGAGGATGTGCCAAGATCATCCCAAGGCCATTTTCTACAATTTCTGGGGCTCATTCTGGGACAGAATCAGTTCAGGCAAAACCAGGCCAGTCCGATAGCTCTTCCTTGAGAGAGGAGCTGGGGAAGGGGGAGGTGGACAAGAGCCATTAAGCTACATTCCCAGCCTGTCATAGCTGCCACATGTCCTAGAGGAGGCCTCCTCATGTGGCTCCTCCCCTCCCCCCCCATGTGTTTGCAGGCACCGTCACTGTGCACCTCTGGAAAGACAGCACGGGCCATCTCAGCTTGGTCGCCAACCCACTGAAGGAGAACCGGGAGTCCTTCAAGGTCTCCACAGAGCCGGCGGCGGTGGCCATCTGGCAGACTCTCCAGCAGACCACCAGCAGCAGTGGCAGCGCCTGCGCCCTTGCCCAGTGGCCACATGCCCAGCTGGCACGCTCACTCAAGGAGAGGTGAGGCCACTGGGCAGGATGACAGAAACCCTGTCCCTCGGCAGGGACCGGCAACGCTCCCACCTGTGCCCAAGGCCAAACACTCCCCTAAATTAGGGCTGGCGCTGAGAAAATGAGAAATTCAGATGAATGCTCTGTCTAGAATAACCAATGTGACCAAAGAAAGGAATGGATTTTCTTTATGCCACTTCTAGAAGGGAGGATTACAATGCATTTTATCTCAGAAGTCGATGCACAGGCAGAGTTCTCTACTGAGTAGGTATTCGGTACATATTTGTTTAATTAAATACCTGTTTCACTGAAACCATGAAGTGTCTCTGGGGAGGGAATGTGCAGAACAGAAACCCTAGAATGGTGTATGCAGAGGAAAAGTGCAGCTAATTGCTCTCGGAAATCATCTCTTTCCCTAGCAGTTGGAAGGGGCCAGGAGGGAGGTCAGCTTGGCACTCAGAGGGTCCCTGGAGATGCAGGAGGCTCAGGCGCCTGAGGTCCCTACCAAAAGCTCTGACAATGTCAGCTGACCTTTCTCAGGTGAAAAGTCTCCCTGGGGCTTTTTAAAACATTTATGGAAAACAAAAGGGAGCTAATACAATGAAAATACCTCCCTTCCCAAGGAGTGCAGCGGATCTCATTAAGCCTCTTGGCTTGGAGTCAGGAAGCCGGCGCATTATCTCCATTTCACAGATGGCGATGCCAAAATGCCGAGAGGGCAGGAGGAGAGGGCCAGCCGCAGTCCCTCGCTCCCTGCAGCCCCCACCCCACTCCCATGGCCTTCTGAGGTCACAGGCAGGAGACAGCCGGCCTGCTCGCTGGAGTATCAGAGTCCAACCCCAGGCTTGTGATTCCGGAGAGGGCCGCTGCCCCCTTACTGTGTTGCCTCAATAGTAAGACCATTGTGCTCACTTCAGCAGCACATATACTAAAATTGGAACGATACAGAGAAGATTAGCATGGCCCCTGCGCAAGGATGACATGCAAATTCGTAAAGCGTTCCATATTTTTTTTTTTTTTTTTTTTTTTTTTTTTGAGACGGAGTTTCGCTCTTGTTACCCAGGCTGGAGTGCAATGGCGCGATCTCGGCTCACCGCAACCTCCGCCTCCCGGGTTCAGGCAATTCTCCTGCCTCAGCCTCCTGAGTCGCTGGGATTACAGGCATGCGCCACCACGCCCAGCTAATTTTTTGTATTTTTAGTAGAGACGGGGTTTCACCATGTTGACCAGGATGGTCTCGATCTCTTGACCTCGTGATCCACCCGCCTCGGCCTCCCACAGTGCTGGGATTACAGGCTTGAGCCACCGCGCCCAGCCCATATTTTTTATAAAAAAAAATAGTAAGACCATTAATAATCCAGATCACCTGCAAGTGAGTTCAAATCACTTCAGCCCTCTGAGGGGGAAAACGTTTCTAATAAGTGGTCCCAGGGTTTGGAGAAGCCCCTCGAGGGCTGCAGTGTGGTACAGTCTGGACCCGAGTTGGGTAGGGAGGGTGCCCCAGCCTGGTGAGGGCCGCCCTGGAGAGCAGCTGGGACCACCCTGTCAGAGCCCATCTCAGAGAGCCCAGTCAGCCACAGGCAGCAGTGCCCTTCCTTAGACCTCTGCCCTGACCGCCCTGTGCTCCCCTCCCCTGCAGCCCGGCCAAGTCTCTCCTGAGGTCCGAGCCCCAGCTCAACACTCCAGACTTCTTGCTGGTGGAAGACACTAACAGGAACCAGGTGGAGAAGAGCTTCAACCCATGGGGCCTGCACTGCCACCAGGCCCACCTGACTCGCCTGTGCTCTGAGTACCCGGAGAACAAACGGCATCGTATCCTTGCCATCTCCATCGCATGCAGTCCCAAGGGCAGAGGGACAGAGAGACATAGGGGGGCAGAGGAGGGTAGAGGAAACACACACTAACACGGGGCCAAGGGAGGGTGGGCAGGGAGAGACAGATGAGAGGGACAGCTGGTAGGCACAAGCCCGCAAACCTGGGTCCTGGAAGAAACCAGGTGCCTCCAAAAGAACAGCTAGACAGGCCGGGCACGGTGGCTCACGCCTGTAACCCCAGCACTTTGGGAGGCCAGGGCAAGTGGATCACGAGGTCAAGTGATCGAGACCATCCTGGCCAACATGGCAAAACCCTGTCTCTACTAAAAATACAAAAATTAGCCGGGCGTGGTGGTGCACGCCTGTAGTCCCAGCTACTTAGGAGGCTGAGGCAGGATAATCACTTGAACTTGGGAGGCGGAGGTTGCAATGAGCCGAGATTGCGCCGCTGTACTCCAGCCTGGGCCACAGAGAAAGACTCCATGACAAAAAAAAGAAAAAAAAAAAAAAACAGCTAGACAGTATGGGGAAGGCAGACTGGGAATCATGCTGAGTACAGTGCCCTGGGTTAGTTGCAGGGCGGGGACCAGCTGTGTCTTTGCCTCTTGGCAGTAAAGATGGGTTGGGATGGGAGTGTCTGTGGTCAGACAGGAATGATGAATGCCATGTTAGATGGGGGCAGCAGGGGGCTCAGAGAGTTGGATGGGTCCCCAGCCCCAACCTCCCTTCCATCCCTCCAAATTCTCCCTGCAGGCATCTTCCCATGGGGCCCACGCAGTGAGAGGGAAGTGTGGCTCCTCCCTCAGGGCAGCATCCATGGGATGAACTGTGGGAGGAGGTGAGTCCTCTGCGCCACAGAGTTTTCAGGGAGAAAATTTAGGTTTGAAAGGCCCCTCTGTCACCACTGCTGGGCTCCTTCCTGCAAATGGGTGGCTGGTTTCATAGTATTTACCAAGACACATCTACAACCATAATCCCTAAGAAGCTTTTGCAGGATAATTGCTCCACTGAAATTAATATTCCTGCAACTCATCTCCAAAGCTAACATCAACCCACTTCTCCCAAAAGGTATTGGTCCATTCAGCAGGACTGGAGGTTTTAGCCTTATGATTTTCTGCTGTAAAATGTAAATTGGGCATGGCCTGCCAGGGATTTCATGCTTGCATTTAAATTTGAACCTCAGAGCAAAATGGAAAAGGAAAAAAAGCTCACATACTCATCAACTCCCCCTAAATAAATGGACTTATTAAAGCAGCCTGCACAGCTAATACTGTGAATTCTTAATAGCAAGGATGAGCTTGTCTGTAAGGAAGGCAATGGGAGTGAAGAATGGTGCCTGGAATCGGGAATTTCCAGGCAGCCTCAGAAGCACGCGAACGGCCTCTGGCAGGGCAGCCGCTCTGAAGTCCTCACAGCCTTCCTTAACTTAGTGTGACTAGGGTTCTTGTTGCTGGAAAATGTAGTGTCACAGTACACACACCCCTGCGTCCTGGATCTGAAGATGGGGACCCGGCAGCACGGTGACGACGCGTCCGAGGAGAAGAAGGCCCGCCACATGCAGAAGTGTGCGCAGAGCACCTCAGCCTGCCTCGGTGTGCGCGTGTGCGGCATGCAGGTAGGTCGGTGGCAGGGGCCTACCACGGGGTGGGGTGGGCGGGACATCCCGGCATGTCCACAGTAGCGCAAGGATGTCTCCCATCCAGATGTCACTGCCTCCTGCAGAGCCTTTCACTTTGTGGGAGCCACAGAAGAGGCCAGGAGCCAGTTTTCCAATAAGGAAATGCATAACCTGGTCTGTGACACGCTGGATCAGTGTGTCAGAACAGTGATGTCAAAAACTATCACGTCTGAATGTGTCCTTACAATCTTTGGCCAGCTAAAACTTTCCACAGTGGCCATGTGGCTCCCGCTCCTGTTGTGAGCAGACCTTTGACAGCAGTGTGTGAGCCTGGGCTGCGGGAAGAACTAAGAGAAAGGGCCTCTTGGTGCACCCCACGGCTTCCTGAGTCATCCTTCTCTTGAATGATAAAGCTGAATTCTGTCCTTCTTAGATGCTGCATGGCAGTCGGCTCTTCAAATTTCTATTAGCCACTTCCCCTTCTTAATCCACCTTTTTTCCAACATTTTGCTACCAGTTCTGGCTAATAAAGTGGGAAGATCGGGCCGGGTGCGGTGGCTCACGCCTGTAATCCCAGCACTTTGGGAGGCCAAAGTGGGTGAATCGCCTGAGGTCGGGAGTTCAAGACCACCCTGACCAACATGGAGAAACCCTGTCTCTACTAAAAATACAAAATTAGCTGGGGACAGGGGATGGCGCTCGCCTGTAATCCCAGCTACTCGGGAGGCTGAGGCAGGAGAATCGCTTGAACCTGGGAGGCGGAGGTTGCGGTGAGCCAAGATAGCACCATTGCACTCCGGCCTGGACCACAACAGTGAAACTCCGTCTCAAAAAATAAATAAATAAAGTGGGAAGGGCATAACCTGCTAACCCTGGCAAAGGAATGGTTATTTTCTGTATCTCAGGCTCCACGCCTCCTTTTTGGGACTCTCATGTGGCTTATGGCAGGGCTGCGGGAAAACAGGAGGAAATAAACTTCCTCTACTTGTTCACTCCTGTAGTCTGTCTACTCAAAGCAAAATCAGACACCGATTTGACGGTAAACGTTATAGCTTTCCTTAATGAAACTGCCACCCCTTGAAGCTGGAAGTTGAGTCTATAAATTTGTTGCACAAATGTCCTTTGGAAAGCCAGGAATGCAGTCCGCAAGAGAATGGAGTGTGATGATTTGTGGTGTAAATGGAATCTCTCTCTGGACCTCAAATCTTCTGAAATTGATCTGATTTACTTAGAAAGTGATGCCTGTCATGTATTTATGACGGCTAATTTAGCAGCCAATCTGCAGCCCTCCAAAGGCAACACCAAGTCTATCATATCGGTTTTTTCAACCCTGGTTTTCTATAAACATATCATGTAATCTGAAGGCAGGAAAGACCTGAGAAACCATCTTGGCTAGGCACAGGCAGCCCTTCTTGGTGTGCCAGGCAGAGGGGTGCCAAGCCCCTCTCTGGCCATGCCCACTGCTGGCCTCAGTTCAGCCTCGGCTGCTGCCTGTGCCATCTGAATGAAACGGGGGTGGCTGCCACTGTCCCCCATCAGCATCTCTCTTCCATCTGCTCCCTTCTGTTGGCCAAGACACAATAGGGGAGGGGAGGAGAAACGCTGCCAAGGAGAGGAGCCACCAGCCCCACAGAGCTGCCATGAACCTCCCTCCTCCTCTAGACTCTCCTCCACTCCACTGGCTGCCTGGAAACTCTGTCCACACCTGACCTAGCCTGTCTTTTTATCTTCAAACAATTCACCCCACTCCACCTCAAGAGGCATGACGGTTTCCTTGGAATCTGCAGAGAAAGGACTTTGTAAACTTTGTTGGGGAAATTTTAGTCTAGTTGGCTTTCCAAGGCCATTGGCTGTGATTTCAGATTCCTACTAAAGCCTTCTAGCTTGGGTTTGCTAATATTTGAATTGAACAGGGCCAGAAGCCAGGGCTTAAATCATGATTTGGAGGTTGACACTGGAAATTCACAAGAAAGGAGATCCAAACGTTTTTCTCGTGGGTGGAGGGTCACCTCTGTAGGGTGAAGGATCTTTAGACCTTGAATTTCTATTAAAGACTTGCACAGAGAGCATTTTAAAATGTAAGACTTACCCTGGCACTTGATGGAAGATCATCTTCTGCTCATTTCAGTCACTCTTGCCTACATCTCCTAAAAATCTGTTCACATATTATCCTAGCTTGTGATGCTGCAACCGTACCAGATGCAATTTTTTAAAGTTTTCTTCACATTTTCTTTCATTTCTTTAATGTAAGGTTTATCAAACCAGTAAGAAGCACTTTCTCTGCAAAGACAAGTACTATGGAAGAAAACTCTCAGTGGAGGGGTTCAGACAAGCCCTCTGTCAGTTCCTGCATAATGGAACCCACCTCCGGAGGGAGCTCCTGGAGCCCATCCTGCGCCAGCTCCGGGCCCTCCTCTCGGTCATTAGGAGCCAGAGTTCATACCGCTTCTACTCCAGCTCTCTCCTCATCATCTATGATGGACAGGAAGTACCAGAAAGAGCCCCAGGCAGCCCGCACCCTCGGGGGGCTCCCCAGGCGGCCCACGGCAGCTCTCCCGATGGCCTCACCAAGGTTGACGTCCGCATGATTGACTTTGCTCACACGACATACAAGGGCTCCTGGAACGACCACACCACCTACGATGGACCAGACCCGGGCTATATTTTTGGCCTGGAAAACCTCATCAGGATCCTGCAGGATATCCAAGAGGGAGAATGAAACTTCCTGGGCTTCTCTGGATTTTTCTGGGCTGTAGATCTCCAGAAGGGACCTCTTGGTTGCTAGGGTAGTCCAGACACCCCTTCGATGTTTTCATAATAGTCCTATCTACCTTCAAAGCCATGTGTATATATGGCAGGCTATATTAACAGCTGCTGAACAAATCAGCTCTGGAGGTGATTGCACATCCCCCAGGCACCGTGCTCCAATGCTGCTCACTGGAGGGGGCAGCCCGAGTTAGAGGCCAGCATTGTTGTGACATTCTGGAGTATTTGCATCTAAAAATGTTTACTTGTTCTCATGCTGCAATCGGTGCAGGCTGTGAGACAGAAGGCGTGACTTGAAGAAGCCTTGAAGAGTGCGTTCAGGAGTTCATGGTTTTTCTCCTTATATGGACTGCCCACTCCAAGGGCAGGCAGAGCTCATGAAAGCCTCTTATCTTCGTAAGCAGAGTTTTAGGTGAGACAGGATGAAGCAGAACAGATCTGCCCATCTCACCTGCTCTGCACCCAGCTTCTAAGTGGACAAGGCCAAGCCCAGGCACAAGCTCTGGCAAAGCGAGGCCCCCGATTCTCCGTTTCTGCCAGTGGAGAGGAGGGTCCCTTTACAGACTTTTTTTTTTCCCCAAAAATCTCCTAAAATGAGGAATCTCTTAACAGACTTTGGAGTTCCCATTGGAAGTGATGACTCCGTCACATTCTGACCATGAGACGCAGCTTGCAGTGGGGGTAGAATGCACATAAGGAGGGACCACTGATGTCCAGCTCTGCTCGCTGCTTTCTATTTATTTATTTTGGGGGTGAGCTGGGGAGTCAGAAGAACCTGGAGGACTGAGGAAACCAGGGGCAACGTTTACAAGACTGGTGGACAAGTGTAAATACGGAATAAGAACAAACAGTTCTAATTAATTCCTTCTTCTGCAGTATGGAAACCTATTACAATGCCCTTGAGTCAAGCACTGAGATACGTTATCCAATTAGGGAAATAAATTTGTTAATAAAATTGCTGAGGTCACCAGTGATTACTGGCGCGCCTTATTGCCCTTTCCGTTTGTTTATTCTGATCACACTGTGCAGTAGTCCCAATTTATGAGCGACTAGAGTATACCACAAGAACAGTTCACTGATTTCCTACAATCCTTCAGGGAACTCGGGTGGAAATGGTGGCTAATAAAATATTTGCGTGTATCTGCAAGGCGGGCACCAGACCTGAGAAATAAGTGGTCCTTTTATGTGAATCTCATACGATGCAAAATTAAGTAATTTTTTGATTCCCGTGGATAATTACTGTCCACACTGCAAAATCCACACTAATAAAAAGAAAGAGTGGACTGGATAATTAAAAAAAAAACTTTTGTTTAATTTTAGAACATACTCTATGGGTTTCTAAGCAGGTTAACTTCCCAAATTATGTTTGGCTGAGGCAATGATGTGATTCATTTGCATGCTGTGTGGCCAGGGTAGGAGAGAGTTGAGTCAGAGCATGTTGGGTGACAAAAGGGAGTCAGCCTAAAACTAAGTATTTGCTAATGACAAAACAGAGCCCTAAATACTGCCTTTTTCAGGCCACTTCCTTGCTTGAGAATCTGATACCACATCAACCAGGTCCAAAGCCCCCTGGGTTAGCTTCTCATTCCTCCACCTGTTCTCAGCTCTGGGTGGGGGAGGGGGGTCTTGCCTGAGGATGGCACAGAGAAGATCAGCTGGAATCCAAGTCTTTTGGGGCTGCCCACCCAGATCACTAGCTGTGTCACAACTATTCTCTGTGGCCGGGGTCCCCATTCCTGCCCAGGTGATGCCCCCTCTCTTGGCTATTCCTTTACCCCATGGCACCCCTCTTGTATGAGGCCTTCTTCTTCCCCTCCCAATCATTTGAGGCCCAGCCCATGTTCCCATCTCCTCCTAAAGATGTCCCTTAAAAAAGTGTAATTTGTTGTTAAAAAAAAAAAAAAGTAGGGGGAATGAAGAAGTCGGCTACCGGTTTTAGTGCATTCCTACTGAACTCATAGGCTCCGAGGGGTTGCTGTGATCTGAAAATTTGCGCATGACTCTGCAGATTCAGAAACTCAATGAATTTAGAGACTGAGTGAGCCCACCCAGTTGCTCTAATCTGGGAAACGGGAGAGGAGAAAGGCATGGAAAGAAGAGATGATGGGATGTGTATGTTTTCGGTCTCCAATCTGTGTTTACTTGAAAATGGCAAAAAGAGTGCAGGAGCCCTAAATAATCTGGCAGTCAGCAAGAGTACACTGAGCAGCGCCTCCCTGCTCATCTACTGGCTCACGCTGGGGAAGATGCAGCTCTTGGGGAGCCTGATTCTAGTCAGAGAGGCAAGAATAACACGCATGAACTCACACACACCACATAAGACAGGACCCAGGGAGACAGAGGTCCACCTGCGTGGTGTGAATGATCAACTGTTCCATTTACAGTTGAGGATGTTCATTCAGAACAGGGACATCACTAACACTGTTGGAGGAGGTGGAGCTCCATCTGAACCCTGAAGGGTGACAGGAGTGGAGAAAGGCTGGGGGATGGGTGAGGGGAGGGTGGCTGAGAGTGGGGGAAAGGAAAAGTCCAGCACACCCACAAGTCCGTGGACAGAACCCATTCGGAATTGGGGTTTTGCGGTTGGAAGTAGTAGAAGAAAAATGGAATGAGCCCAGATGGTGGAAACACTTGGAAATCTAGTCAAGGAGCTCGTTCATTTGTTTGTGATGTCATTATTCTGTCCATTTGCCTTCTTTCGTTCCGTCTCTCATTCCCTCCCTCCCTTCTCACCCTTCCTCCCTCCTTCCTTTCCAGCAAGTATTTACCAAGTGTCTGGTACATACAACACAGAGCTAAGCCCTTGAAAATCTGGCTAAGTAGCTCATTCATTTGTTTGTGATTTCATTAATCAGTCCTCCCTCCCTCCCTGAATCCTTCCCTTCCTTCCTGAGTGCCCAGTATGAACAACCCTGTGTTAAGGCCTATATAGGAAACAAGGAAGTGTGAGGATCATGTCGCTATTGCTCAGAACCTCATAATTTAATCAGGGAGTCAGACCTCCTATGAAAACATCACGGGTGCTTCAAGAGGGGATGAGGACCATCTGCTCGGCTGTGCAGTGCTACCCGGAGAGGAGCAGCAGCAAGGGCTCACTGCCTCACAGGGTGATTGTGGAGGTGGTGTCTGAGCCACACCTTGAAAGGGAGTCAAGTCTGAAAGGTGATGAGGAGGGGCAGGTGTTCCAGGAAAAGGATCAACAAGCATGGGAAAGGCAAATCAAGCATTCTGCCCGGGAATGGTAAGTGGTTCAGGTGGCCACAAGGGGTTGATATACTTGGGCACTGAGAGATTAAGATAGAAACGGAGAAATCCCAGAAGGTGAAAACTAAAAAGCACCTCTGAACCTTCTACCTCTATGGCTCCCTCTTGTCTGGAAGACTGTAAGAGCCTCTTGGCTGGCACCCAGTTGGGTAAGGGTAAAGCTCTCTTCTTTTGTGAATTGAGGTACACAGGTGTTAGTAATTACTAATTGAATAACTGAATTAGTAATACACAGGTATTAGTTGGAGTTAGGCTAACTGCTATAACAAACAATCCCCAAATATCAATAGCATGACAATCCAATGTGGTCAGCAGAGAGCCCCTGCTCCACACAGTGATTCAGGAACCCAGGCTCTTTCCATCATGTGACACCACCCTCTTCAAACTCAGTCTACAAGGCTGCTGTTGACGGGTAAAAGACAGCAGGGAGAAGGCACATCCACATCCCATGGGCAAGAACTAGCCACGTGGCCCTACCCAGATGCCAGGGGTCTGACGTGTCGTTTAACTGTGTGCCTATAAAGAGGAAATGGGTTTGTTGAGAACCTCTGTCTCCATAAACCTCAAGTCAAGTTGATACCTGACCTAAGGAGAGAGAAACAGAGACATACAGAGCCAGCGGGGAGCGTGAGGGGATGGCAGGAGCCTGGCAGTGCCAGGGCTGTAGGTTCTGATCTCAATTCTTCCTCTGCCCATGTCCTCATATGGTCAGTGTGCTCCGAGCGCTGGGAGACTTACTAAGCATCTCCCCCACCTCAGTCTCCTCTTCTGTCCCATGAGAACTCTAACTTGGTCCTCCAGACAGGAGATATGGAAGAGCAAACATGGATCCTTCCCATATCCACGGAGCAGGGGCTCAGGGCAGCCTGGAAGATATTCACCCACCCCCACCCCCACCCCATCCGTCCAGTGTCCCCTGTGTGATTAAAGAGGAGGCTAAAGAGCCGAATGTTATTACAGCTTTTCCATAATGCAATGTCATCAGGAAGCCCTGGGCCTCTGGGCAGCACCCTGGCAGCCCCATCACTCTTCCCAGCTGCACGGAGCTTTTAGACCGTGCAGGAAAGGGCAGGAAGCAGTCTAATAAAACAAATGGCAAGGCAAGACCACTCATCAGCAGCTCTTCAAAATGATCTAAACTTCTGAATTTTGATTTAAATCTGCATCCTCTGTGGCCAAAAACATAAAATAGAAGATAAGGAAAAGAACTAAAATGAAAGTGTGGGTGCCAAGATTTAGAGGGGAGGGAGGGAGGGGGAAAGTCGGCCCTGGGACAACACTGAGTTGAGCTCCAGCCAGGCAGGCGGACTTGCAGCCAGGCACGGGCCCTTTCCATTATGCCTCTCTCAGAACTTCTCCCTTCTGCTACTGAGCTGCCCCAAAATGGGACAGAAAGTTTGAGAGTCAATCCAAGAGCAAAATGTGGAAATCTACCTGCGCCCGATTTCCCTTAGCCTTTCTCCCCCAGCCCTCAAAGATGGACAACTTAAAGGGGAAGGGCTGGGGCTGGGGACAGGAGGGCCAAGTGACCTCGGCTTATATTCTCACGTCGTTCATTCTCTTGAGATTCTTTTAGTCAACACATATTTACAGATGACTGGGTACCAGGCCCTGCTGCCAGGCACTGACCCATGCTTTGAGGCAAAAGCAAACAGAGATGGGGCTGCTACTTTAGATGGGGATCAGGAAGGTCACTCTCAGGTGACATCTACTAAGGAACAGATGCAGAGAGGCAACAAATCCCTGAGGCAGCTGACAGGCAACTCGGCAGAACTGAGGGGCTTTGGATATATTCAGCTGCACTTCAGGCCCCCACTGAGCCTATCCCAGCACACCTCAAACACTTACATGTCTTTGAAAAAAGCTCACCTCCAGGATACGGCAGCAGTCTATTGCCAGGGTGACCCTTCCGGCTACCTTTAACCAGAAACATGAAATGACTCATTCTGATGCAAGTCCAGATCCACTTTTGGGTAACATATCTGGGTATTGCAGCCAATCATTTCCTCCAGTTGAATAAGGTGAAAGAAGAGAAATCAGGCAGTCGTGTTTCACAAAGAAGCTAAGAATTTAATTCCTTTTTAATGTTTACATTATTAACACCAGCATTACAAAACGGTATTTTTTACTTTCAAACAATTTAAATGCACAATTCGGTGTCTCGATTACTGGGATCATTATAACTTGAAAAACTGAAGCAGCACTCTCTCCCTCCTCTCTCCTCCCCCTGATGGTGCCTAGTTTCTATAAAGAGCAATCAGGGCTCCATAAAGCCCAAATACCCATTCCAAATGACTTGGGAGGTGAGCCCCTGGTGGGGGTTTTCAATGAGCCAAGGGAGCTGCATTCAGTGTGGAATGAGTGACAGCTGGCAGGTGGGTGTTAAAATGGTCATCAACTCCCCAAGGTTCTGGCACCACCGAGCTGCATTCCAGGCAGTGCCTATTAATGTGCTGGGAATGGCGCTGGGTGATTGACAAGCTGGTGAGTCCAAACTGGCTGAAATCACCCATGAGCACAGCGAAAGGAAAAGGGGGCCTAGAAAATGATCAATAGGAGCCACTGCAATGTGTTGGCTTATGCTGCACCGGCACTGGCCAAGGCTACGCCAGGTGTATAAACATACCACGCACAAGGTTTACGACGATGATGCTGCAAGGGGGCCTGAAGAGGCACCTGAGGGAGTGGGCAAAAGCACGGGCTCTGAGCCGCCCAGCCTGGGCTCA